AGGGCTCCGTGGACGATGGTATCCGTCAAATCTTCACCGCGCTGGCTCTTCGGGAGAAAACCTACGAGCTCGGCAAGACCAAAATCTTTATCAAGAACCCTACCACTGTGTTTCGTCTCGAGGAGGAACGCGATGCCAAGCTGGAACATATCGCAAGCATCATCCAGGATGCCTGGCGCCTTTTCCTCATTCGTCGCGAAATTGGCGCCTACTATGACCAACTCCTCACCAAGTAGGGCTTATCGCTGCGCTTCAATTACAGTTTGCTTTGAAAGAGCAAAGCTTGTGTTGTTTTCGCGCAAGACGCGTTTGCCTGTGCGCGCGCGTGGGCCTTACAAGAATCTGTTGACGCTTTTTTTTTCTCTGGGCTTGATTGCTAGGTTTAAGGATGTCCGCTCTGATTCGTCATATGGCTATCGCATCGAGTGGCCGACACCAAGCAAGATTTTGGTGCCCGCCGATACCATGTTGAAACGGTGGGTCACGGCGTTTTTCAGGCCAACCCTCGTCTGCTTTTGTTGTTTGCTTTCCATACTTGTCAATCTCCTTCTCATCATCTTGGACGTGCGACGTTGATGTACCGGTGCAGGGTCTACAAAAACTGGTGGGCCAAGCAAATGATCAAGTCGCTGAGTGCCGAGGAGCAGGCCATCATGCGTGTGCAGCTTTTGGCCCACCGTTTCACCGCTGGCAAGAAGGCTGGCTTTGTGATCACGCGCGACAGCTACTCACGTCATCACATCCCCGAGCGCGACGGGCTGGCGGCGCTTGAGTCTTCATATAGCGCATCACAGTTTGATTGCCCTGCTGTCAAGCTCTCTCGTCGCGGCAAGCCAATGCCTCGCCATGTCATTCTGACCAAGGAGCAACTCATTCGTACCGACCCAAGCTTTCGGGTGAAAGAAAAAAACGTGATGTCCCTCCACTCTGTATCGGCGGTCCATGTGTCACCCCATGACGACAATGTGGCTGTGGTCAAATCCAAGGAACCAGGCTTTGACGTTGTGATGAGCCTGGGCGGCGACACCAACAACTACGGTAAGTCTTTGGTGTGTTTTGAGTCAGAAGACAGAGGGGCGGGTTTCGTCGCAGGCTTGCGTCCGCCCTCATCCCGGGATCGGTGGCTGTGTCCATAGCCATTGAATTTGTGTCGCGCTTGTACCTTGCCTGCCGAGATGCGGGCAACAAGATCGAGGTGGTAGTGCACGAGGGGTCTCTGGCCTACAACAACTCGCTCAAGGAGGGAAGCAGCCACGCCCTCGAGTTTAAGAAGAATCCAGCGGGCGAACCGGGGACCCGCCTCGGCAAGACGACGGTGCTTTTTTAAGCGACATCTTTTTTTTTTTTAAACGGAATCTGTATTCGCTTGAGGGTTCTCCCTTTGGCAATTTGCCTTGTGTACATATGAGCGGCCCCCTCCAGTCCATCCGGGCACTGGGTAGCGTGCGGTGATATGTTTGTACGCTACGTTTCTACATTAATTGCATATTGTTCAACCTAATTTCCCCCACCGTTTTGAGCGACAATGCCGCTGGCCGCGCTCGTTGCAAGCAACAAGGTTCATCAGCAGGAGACGAGAACCCAAGACAAGAAAACCAGAATGAACACACACACACACACACACACACACACACACACACACACACACACACA